TTTGTCGGGTAGGCTGCTCCATTATTGAGACGTAAGTGACAAATTCAAAACAAATGGAACACATTTGAAACAAAGAAAGATTGTCATAATGGAGCAGCCTACCCAACAAACACTGAACGAACCTTTTGCTATAACGAATATGAAAGACTAGGGCTGCTGGCTGGGTTAGTACTGCGTGAGCAACCATTTGTGGCACATGTGCCTCTGGCTCTCAAACACCTGTCCCACACGGTGTTAAAAGACTGCGCTCAGTCGGTGCAATTCAGACCCTATTGTTTGAAGAACATAAGGGTCATAACATTGGTGAAGCTCGGCGCAATAAGGGCTTAACACAACGGTCGGATGCCAGTCATACAGCACCTATGAGGATGATACAGCGAACGTATCCAGTTGTAGCTCTGAGCCCCACCCTTGCCATCTCGAATTTATATAGATGATACATAGATGAATCGTTTTCTGAGTTCAGTGATGATGCATCTGATACAAGTAGCATAGATGAACAGTGTTAGCGGCTTCCATGGTGGTGTTGTTCATTGATATTTTCAAGAATACCTGAATCTCTTCCTGACTGATGGACACTCTTTGAGGCTAGCTGAATCTCTTCCTGACTGATGGACACTCTTTGAGGCTAGCTGAATCTCTTCCTGTGTGGGACCTTACAAAGCGATCTTTTCAAGACTACCTTACAAATTGAGCTTTTCCTATTATCGTTTCAATACTACCTTATGCTTTACAAGCTTGGCTACATACCACCTACAAGTACTAAAGCCAAGGGTGCACGCGAGTGCGTTATTTGTAAGCACACAGAACGATGAAACAGGAAACGAAAATCTATCTGTAGCTGGTGCAAGGAGAGCAAAGTCGTGCTGTGTACCATGGACTACTTCGTTGACTATTACGCACCTCCAAAGTACTGAGTGTGTTATACAGTGTGTTACTGTGTAAATAGTATGTGAAACTGTACATATTGTAATTTTAGTGAATTTTTACCACGTAATATTGTGACAATAAACATTTATTGTGGACACATTACTGACACATGTATCACAGTTTCATGGAAAATTATGAACATTCTACTGTATTCATATTGTAAAGGACACAAATATGCATCATATACGATAAAAGAAACAAATAAAACCGCATTGGAAATGCATAGAAAAAATATTTGAAAATATATTTGTGGCAACTCGCAGTGCTTGAATGGCCTGCGCGACCGTGTCTGGGAGCTTCACACACGGGCGACCAGCCCCTGATGACGTCACAGCGCACCTTGTCCACGCCCTCACAACCAAAGTAAGTGGAATTTGGTAATTATTTTTACATAGACATGTTCAGGGATGGTAATTTATCATTTTGCAAAGAAAAATGATATTTTGAGGAACATTTGATGTCATGCACACTGGGGGAATTTCACAATAAACACAGTGCATCACACTGGTTACATGGGGGACACTCGTTTTGTATGACGTCTGTTTCACATGACGAACATGGAACGGATTAAATTCGTTATGCGAGGTACCACTGTATTTTGCGATTATAGAACTGTATTACAGAAGACCCCTGACTATGATAAAACTGACCAGGATTCTGATAATAGCAGGATTGTGGTGATAATTAGCGCTGTGCTCCATGGAGGGAGGAGTAATGCTGTAGGAGGGAGGGTGGTGGCTTCATCTTCTGACTGTGTGTGGCCACCTTTTATTGACTGCACTCACCATACCAGCTTAGTATTTCGCTATGGTGAACACAAATGTAGATACTTATATATAATGTGTGTATAGTGTGTAATAACAGCAATAGGAATAGGTTGGGAGCCGCCATTTAGGTGAGGGAGGTGCGTCGTCTACACGACTTATCATGTTTTTACTAGTGGCCACTATGGTCTTTGGGCACCATACCAGCTTATTTGTACAGGTATGGTGAATAAAACGGGTAGATACTTATATATAATGTGTGTATATAGCGTAATAACACCACAAACAATATTGTTGGAGGAGAAATATTAGTGCATCTGACCCTGAGGGCGGCCGCCACCAGCTGACTGTGCGAATAGCTACATCTTATTGCCTTTACTCACCATAAGAGCTTAGATGTACAGTTATGGTGAATAAAACATGTAAATACTTATTTATAACGTCTGTGTATAGTGAATAAATGCAAAAACAGTATTGTGGGAGGAGAATGAGGGCGAGTGAGGTGTTGTTGAGGGAGGGTGGTGCAATGAGTGGCTGGCTGGTGTGTGGCGGTCACTCCTCATTGCATTTTGACTCACAATACCAAGTGGTTTGTTTTGGTGAGCAAAACATGCAGATACTTATATATAACTTGTGTATATAGTGTAGTAACAGCAAAACTATTTGTTTATTGTTTTATGAACATAATAATTGAATCACTAATATGCACACCATAATTTTGAGTACAGCGATGGTTCACACATTTAATTATATAAATATATCACAATATACACTATTGAATAATATTACTGCAAAAATACAAAGAAAAAATAAATCAGAGACATTGAAATAATTAGGTAATAATATATTTGTGGCAACTGCCGCCTGACAGCTCGGGCGGAGTAGACCTCGTCTGGCGAAGGCTCTGTCAACGCCCCTTTTTTGCCAGACTTCCTTACCCTATTGCGGCTAAAATATGCCACCTACGATTTTTTTCCCCCGTGATCAGGGAACACAAATGAACACTTTTTTATAAGACGAAAGAATTTTTTTTTTTTTTTATTGCGCCTGTGGGTGTTGAAGCCATTTGGACTCCTAGCGGCCCAAGGGTTAAACAAAAACAAACATAATTTATTTGCATCGTTGGAGGCATCCGAGAATGTGCGAGAAGCAGCATGACCCCACTATGTGGTGTTGGCGTTATTCAAATGAGTGCTCGCCATAAGAGATGAATTGTCGGCGGTCTGGGCGCTCGTTACCCAAAATGCTCACCAATTGAGGCAGTCGTCACTCGAGGTTTTACTGTAGTGTATTGTGATTACTAACAATAACAAACAGCAACTCCCATATGACTCTGTAATATCTCCATTGCTCAAACAATTTGGTATTTGCCATAAGACCTACCATTAATGTATAATGATTCAATGGAAATACAGTAAATAGCACTTGAAATAGAACATTCTCTGTAACTAGCTGACATTGTAATTATAAGGTGTGAAGGATAGATGTAATTGTTAATGTAATAATGAGGTCTGATAAAGACCTTTTGTGCCCTCTGTAATTCTTTTGCGCTATCGCTTACAGGATTAGTATGGGGTGCACAATAAATTTGCCGCCTCTGGCGACAACAATCAATATCCAAGATAAGAACAAGAAATAGCAGTGGTACAATGACTGTGCCCTTGGGTACAGAGCTTTTTATTGCACGTGGACTTGATCTTATTTGACTGACTGTTAGTCTTTGCATTGTTTCACAGAAATTGAAAATCCAATGCCCCACTTTCCCCATTATCCCATTTGATCTCACTTTATTTTAAGGGCTATTTGGAGCATACCTAGAGAGTGTTTCAGGAATTCTACTCCCGAGCTCGGCCTGAGGCTAGGCTCGACTTATGATAACTTGGTCCAACAGGCTGTTGTTTGGAGTGGCCCCACAGGTCCACATATCCACTATAGCATGGTTGGTCTGGCACTTCTTGCAAGAACCTGTCCAAGTGCCTCTTGAATACCTCTGCCTTTGTTCTCCAGTTCATGACTAGGTCTCCACCCCCAGGAAGCAGCCCATAGCAGCTGTCTAACTCCCAGGTACCTAATTTACTGTTAGGTAACAAGGGGGCGGTGTTGAACAGCAGTGGACCCCTGATGTTTAGACAGTACTCTCTGATTATGCCTATGGCACCTCTACTCCTCAATAGTTCTATTCTGTCACTAAGTGGTCACACTTATTAAATGCCTTTGTAAAATCTGTGTATACAATATTTGCATTTTGTTTTTCTTCTAATGTTTCTGTGATTCTATCTTAGTGATTGAGTAGTTGTGAAAGACTGGATCTTCCCGCTCTAAATCCATGTTGACCTGTATTGTGAAGTTCATTGTTTTCCATAAAACTGGAGATTTGATTCCTAATCACTCTTTCAAAAACTTTATTATATATGATATTAGTGCAACTAGTCTATAGTGTTTACCACATCATTGCTACCCCCTCCCCCTTGTGCAGAGGAGCTATATCTGCTGATTTAAGAGTTGCTGGTATCTCCCTTGTATCCAAGCTCTTTCTCCATATTACACTGAGTGCTCGTGCTACTGGTACTTTATATTTTTTTATGAATATAGAGTTCCACGAGTCCAGACCTGGGGCCGAGTGCATGAACACTTTTTCACTTTCTCTTCAAAAACTTCTGTGTTTGAGTTAATATCAGTTATATTGTCTGGGGTTTGTATGGTATTCATAAGAAGCTGTCCAGATCTTCCACTTTCATGTTGTTTATTGGGTTGCTAAACATAGCCTAATACTGGTCTTCAGGATTTCACCAATTTCTTTGTCATCCTCTGTGAACGAACTTTTGCTTATAAGTATAGGTCCAATACTAGAGGATGTATTTTATTTTAATTTTGCATATGTGATAAATATTGTGGATTTTTCTTTATTTCTTGTATAGCTTTTTGTTCCAGTTCCATTTTCTCAGACTCATATGATCCCTTCAGCGCTTGCTGTTTCTTCTACCACCCTGTTTAGAATTATTTTTCTTTGTTGCAAAATTTGTGCCTACTTAAACATTACTCTGATTTTTTTCCTTCTTTAGTCGAGTTATCTGCGATCTCTTTCTTGAGTGGTCCTCTTTCTGACCCTCCGCAAAGGCACATGCTTCAGACAGACTTTGTATGCTTAAGCAGTCAGTTGGCCTATTCCAGTGTGTGGAAGTTTTGACATTTAAGACATTTTTGACATTTAATTTTCCCATTGGATGGGAATACTGCATGAATACTATATTTCTATCTATGTTGTAGCGTTGCTTATATAAGATAATGAAATATGAGTAAACGAACCTGTGGCTTTCTCCAAGCATGTTATGGTGGTAGCAACCAGAAATTGGCTGTTCCACTGAGACAAAGCAATTAGCCACGGGACTGTCATCCTGGACCTCTGTGCCACACCCTTCATCTGACTCATCATCTGCAAAACAAGACATTTGTTAACAAAAAAGTATAATACCCTGAGTGAAAATAAATAAAAACATGGCTTTAATTTTGTTGAATTAGCTATGTGAATGGAGTTCTTAAACCCTAGCATAACCACACCTTTCCTTACAGTATGGTGTTTTGATTATTGTTCATTCACCAGAACAGAACTGGTGAGCCAGAACGGTGACCTGCAAGAGAACTATGGTAGTGCATGCCAGGACAGTGAACTGTAAGAGAACTATGGTGCATGCCAGGACAGTGAACTGTAAGAGAACTATGATAATGTGAGCCAGAACGGTGACCTGCAAGAGAACTATGGTAGTGCATGCCAGGACAGTGAACTGTAAGAACTATGATAATGTGAGCCAGAACGGTGACCTGCAAGAGAACTATGGTAGTGCATGCCAGGACAGTGAACTGTAAGAGAACTATGGTAGTGCATGCCAGGACAGTGAGCTGCAAGAGAACTATGGTAGTGCATGCCAGGACAGTGAGCTGCAAGAGAACTATGGTAGTGCATGCCAGGACAGTGAGCTGCAAGAGAACTATGGTAGTGCATGCCAGGACAGTGAGCTGCAAGAGAACTATGTAGTGCATGCCAGGACAGTGAGCTGCAAGAGAACTATGGTAGTGCATGCCAGGACAGTGAGCTGCAAGAGAACTATGGTAGTGCATGCCAGGACAGTGAGCTGCAAGAGAACTATGGTAGTTCATGCCAGGACAGTGAGCTGCAAGAGAACTATGGTAGTGCATGCCAGGACAGTGAGCTGCAAGAGAACTATGGTAGTGCATGCCAGGACAGTGAGCTGCAAGAGAACTATGGTAGTGCATGCCAGGACAGTGAGCTGCAAGAGAACTATGGTAGTGCATGCCAGGACAGTGAGCTGCAAGAGAACTATGGTAGTGCATGCCAGGACAGTGAGCTGCAAGAGAACTATGGTAGTGCGTGCCAGGACAGTGAGCTGCAAGAGAACTATGGTAGTGTGTGCCAGGACAGTGAGCTGCAAGAGAACTATGGTAGTGTGTGCCAGGACAGTGAGCTGCAAGAGAACTATGGTAGTGCATGCCAGGACAGTGAGCTGCAAGAGAACTATGGTAATGTGAGCCAGGACAGTGAGCTGCAAGAGAACTATGGTAGTGCATGCCAGGACAGTGAGCTGCAAGAGAACTATGGTAGTGCGTGCCAGGACAGTGAGCTGCAAGAGAACTATGGTAGTGTGTGCCAGGACAGTGAGCTGCAAGAGAACTATGGTAGTGTGAGCCAGGACAGTGAGCTGCAAGAGAACTATGGTAGTGCATGCCAGGACAGTGAGCTGCAAGAGAACTATGGTAATGTGAGCCAGGACAGTGAGCTGCAAGAGAACTATGGTAGTGCATGCCAGGACAGTGAGCTGCAAGAGAACTATGGTAATGTGAGCCAGGACAGTGAGCTGCAAGAGAACCATGGTAGTGTGAGTCAGAACAGTGAGCTGCAAGAGAACTATGGTAATGTGAGCCAGGACAGTGAGCTGCAAGAGAACCATGGTAGTGTGAGTCAGAACAGTGAGCTGCAAGAGAACTATGGTAATGTGAGCCAGAACAGTGAGCTGTAAGAGAACTATGGTAATGTGAGCCAGGACAGTGAGCTGCAAGAGAACTATGGTAGTGAGCCAGGACAGTGAGCTGCAAGAGAACTATGGTAGTGTGTGCCAGGACAGTGAGCTGCAAGAGAACTATGGTAATGTGAGCCAGGACAGTGAGCTGTAAGAGAACTATGGTAGTGTGTGCCAGGACAGTGAACTGCAAGAGAACTATGGTAGTGTGTGCCAGGACAGTGAGCTGTAAGAGAACTATGGTAATGTGAGCCAGGACAGTGAGCTGCAAGAGAACCATGGTAGTGCATGCCAGGACAGTGAGCTGCAAGAGAACTATGGTAGTGCGTGCCAGGACAGTGAGCTGCAAGAGAACTATGGTAATGTGTGCCAGGACAGTGAGCTGTAAGAGAACTATGGTAATGTGTGCCAGGACAGTGAGCTGCAAGAGAACTATGGTAGTGTGTGCCAGGACAGTGAGCTGCAAGAGAACTATGGTAGTGTGTGCCAGGACAGTGAGCTGCAAGAGAACTATGGTAATGTGAGTTAGAACAGTGAGCTGGTAGAGAACTATAATACTGTGATTCAGAACAGTGAGTTGCAAGAGAACCATGGTACTGTGAGCCAGAACAGTGAGCTGGAAGAGAGCTATGGCACTGTGAGCCAGAACAGTGAGCTGCAAGAGAACTATGGTAGTGTGAGCCAGAACAGTGAGTTAGGTGATAAATATGGTAATGTCTATTTTATTTATTTATTTATGTATTTATTTATCTATTTATTTATTTATATAGAAGAAGGTACATTGATACCTGCTTCATACCTGCTTGATGGGGTTCTGGGAGTTCTTCTACTCCCCAAGCCCGGCCCGAGGCCAGGCTCGACTTGTGAGAGTTTGGTCCACCAGGCTGTTGCTTGGAGCGACTCACAGGCCCACACACCCACCACAGCCCGGCTGATCCGGAACGTCTCTTAGAAAACAGTACAGTTTTCTCTTGAAGATGTCCATGGTTGTTCCGGCAATATTTCTTATAGTCGCTGGGAGGACGTTGAACAACCACGGACCTCTGATGTTTATACAGTGTTCTTTGATTGTGCCTATGGCACCCCTGCTCTTCACTGGTTCAATCCTGCATTTTCTTCCATATCTTTCACTCCAGTACATTGTTATTTTACTGTGTAGATTTGGTACTTGGCCCTCCAGTATTTTCCACATGTATATTATTTGGTATCTCTCTCGTCTTCTTTCTAGAGAGTACATTATCTTGTCTAAACGTGCCATATATGTTCTCTGTATTCCCTCTATTTCAGCAATCTCTCCTGCTCTGAAGGGGGAAGTGAGTAATGAGCAGTACTTGAGACGGGACAACACAAGTGACTTGAAGAGTACAACCATTGTGATGGGATCCCTGGATTTGAAAGTTCTCGTAATCCATCCTATCATTTTTCTGGCTGGCTCAATATTTGCTGGGTTATGCTCCCTAAACGTTAGATCATCGGACATCATTATTCCCAAATCCTTGACATGCTGTTTTCCTACTATGGGCAGATTCGATTGTGTTTTGTACCCTGTATTATGTTTCAGATCCTCAATTTTGCCATACCTGAGTACCTGAAATTTATCACTGTTAAACATCATGTTATTTTCTGCTGCCCAATCGAAAACTTTGTTGATGTCTGCTTGTAATTTTTCAATGTCTTCAGCAGAGGTCATTTTCATGCTGATTTTTGTGTCATCTGCAAAAGATGACACGAAGCTGTGATGTGTATTTTTGTCTATATCTGATATGAGAATAAGGAACAGTAGCGGTGCAAGGATTGTACCTTGAGGTACAGAGCTTTTAACTGTGCTTGGACTCGATTTTATTTGATTGACTGTTACTCTTTGTGTTCTGTTCGACAAGAAATTGAGTATCCAGCGTCCTACTTTACCAGTTATTCCCATTGACCTCATTTTGTGTGCTATCACTCCATGATCACATTTGTCGAACGCCTTTGCAAAGTCTGTGTATACAACATCTGCATTTTGTTTTTCTTCTAGAGCTTCTGTGATTCTGTCATAGTGGTTGAGTAACTGTGACAGACAGGATCTGCCCGCTCTAAATCCATGTTGTCCTGGATTGTGTAGCTCACTATTTGTGTTTGGGTTTGTGAGAGTAAATAACATGCGTGTTTTTACATTCTTGCAAAGCCCCTAACATGCACAGCATTTCAGGCAGGTCCTTAATCTAACAGATAAGATTATTAATAGGTACATTGTAGCAAAATTTGAAAATTATTAATAGGCACATTGTAGCAAAATTTGAAGATTATCAATGGGTACATTCAAGCAAAATTTGAAGATTATTAATAGGTACATTGTAGCAACATTAAAGTTCAACATTATGTTGAACTTTATAACTACGATATAAATTGATGGCAATGATTACACTGGTGAAGTTGCATGCAATAAATACTAATATTGGGGAAGTGGGTAGCACAAGATACAGTGTGAGTTTGAAGCAGGAGGTAGAAAACTATGAGGATGAAATTAAGTACTTTTTGGTTTTACTTTAGAATAAGGCATAGGTTGGACAAGTTTTTAATTCATTAGGGTGTGAGTTCTCTACACTAGGTCCCTTTCTGGGGGGGAGCCCCTTTGGCTCCCCAGAGCTATCCAGGCTGATAGGGGTAGTCCTAACTTTTGGCATCAGTCAACGTGGGTGGAGTTCTAGGCCTACTGGGGATCACGGCCAGAACCTGGCCCCCTCAGAGAGGCATGAGGAGCAATGGCCTATAAAAATGCACATGTGATTTTGGAGCATTCTATATCTGCCATCGACTGGCACAGGCACCCAGGCAGGTATGCACCCCAAAACATACGTTGGTGAAACCAACGAAAATAATGAAACAAGTGTACAGAACTCCTCAAGGGAAAATGAGCAAACAAGCATGACGTCACACGAGCCGCACCGCACATCTGCGCAGCTCCCCCTCCCCCGGGAGGAGGAAGGGGAAGCCCCAGACCCCTCGCCGGCACTCAACACCTCAGTTCCTCGGTTGATGGGATAAGGCTTGGTCGTAGTGGCTCCAGCTCCAGATTCTCTTTGTGCTGTGCCTGGGTTCAGTACTTCTCTTTTGTGGTGTGCGAACTGAGAGAATTATTCCATGGTACTCGGGCTGCATGTGCTTAGGGCTCCCTTCCCTAAGTGCCCTGTAAGTACCGCCAAGGGGCTTGGGGTTACCTTCCACAAGTTAAATGAACAAAACCCACAAGAGCCGTGACGAGGATTCAAACCTGCGTCTGAGAGCATCCCAGACGCTGCCTTAATCGACTGAGCTACAACATGGTCAAAAGGAGTTGAAACCGAAGTTCTACTGAACTTACTGGATCCTGCAGCCTCTCCGAGGCACAAACTAGGATTTTACACAACTCCCCCCATGC